TTATAGTTTAGTACCTTGAACTTTTTAAAATTTACATATTGAAAACAATACATGGATGTCACTTGGATCCGTGGATCCAATTCAATCCACCAACATAATTCAATCAATGAATTTACCAATCCATTTGATCCGTGGATCTGCCAATTCAATCCACCAATCTATGGATCCAATTCATTTGCCCCATTTAGGTGCATGTAACTCATTTCACCGCGTTATGATATTGATATGGTGTAAGTAGGGATGGCAACTAAACCCGAACCCATGGGTACCCACCCGACCCAACCCGGTCAACGCGGGTAAAATCCGTGTTGATGGGTTTTGGGCCGGGTTTGGGTTTAAACCCGTTCACTATTCATCGGGTTGGGTTTGGGTTTAGGTAAACCCGGCCCGTGGGTACCCGCCCATCCATATAATTAATTTTTTCGGTATATTTAATATTCTAAACAACTAATCTTATTTATATTTGTGGAGACATGTCTAATTTTTTCTTTTTAATTGTGTAGAATGAAGTTGATGTTATGGAGTGGAGAGTAAAGAAATTTAATTGAAAGAAAGAAGCTTTGAATTAAACATGTTATTTATGGATAATTTGTTTGTGATTTGCTTCAATTTTCTTGAGTTTTCTAGATTGGTGTTGAACAATTTGTATAGTTAATTTGTGATTTGCTTGAATTTTCTAGAATGGTGTTTTATATATGGATAATTTGTATTGAGAGATTGATATTTGACTTTAATTTTGATAAGAACTTGTAATTGTAAATTTTTTACGACAAAACCCGTGGGTACCCATGAACCCGCGGATACCCAATGGGTTGGGTTTGAGTTTTTCAAACCCAGTGGGTTTTACCCCGGGTTTTTTTCAAAGATAAACCCATGGGTTTGGGTTTGGGTTTGGCAAAACCCGACCCAACCCGACCCATTGCCATCCCTAGGTGTAAGGAAAGCTAGCCAATTGAATGTATCTTTGAACATCCTCCATTTGCATTCCCTTGTGCCACTACAATGTCGTGGCAGAGCAAGAAACTTTATACATGGGTGTCCTCTTTCAAAAATTAAATTAACAATTAAATAATTCTTAAATAAGAAAATATCAAACTAGTACAAGTTACAACAAAAGTTCACGACATGTTTTTTTACCATTAAAAACTTATAAAATACTCTCGGTGTCTACACGACTCAACAAATCTCTCTATCTTACTATACAATTATTCACGAACTGTTTGCTTATTCGATTCCGAAACTCATTCTTAAAGTTTTGATTCGGGTCCAAATGTACACATTTTGCCCCTCATTTCTTGATAGTTTGATTTTGCATTGCATCGTCCCTCAACATATTTCACGCTAGGTTGTGCTTGTTTTGATACATTTCAGGTCCTAGCACGTGTGGAAGGGTTGAGGTCGAATTTTGGGATAATTGGAGGTCAAAAAGCGCAAAAACCAAAGAAAAGTCCGAAGTCCGTGACAATTTTCCCGTAACAGTGAAGTGCAGGCGTCCAAGAAGCAGTCGCAGTTCATGGTCAAACAAGGGAGTTCACGGTCCCCTAAGACCGTGAACTGGAGCCACAAACCATGAACAGCGAGCAGTCCAACGAGGTTTTAGAGGTTACTGACGCCAGGCGAGTTCACAGTCGCTAAGACCGTGAACTGGGGCCATTAACCGTGAACCCAAGAGAGTGAAGCGGTGCGTTTTGGAGACGAACTGAGTTCATGGTCGCGTTTAGGTGTTCACGGCTGTGAACTGGCCAACGCGGCCGTGAACTGGTCGCTTTCGGGTAAATATGAAGACATTAGCGGGGAGAGAGAAATAGAGCTTCATTTTAGGTTAGTTTTCAATTTTCAGAATAAAGAGGATTCTAGTGAGAGGTTAGGGTTTCTTCTAGAGTGAGAAAGTGCAAATCAAAGGAAGAAGAAGGAGCTTTGGGCTTGTTCCTAGCTAGAGGATTGAAGATTTCTTCATCTCAAGGGTGTCTCAAGAAACAAGGAGGGAAGATTGATATCATTTCATGGTTATTTCTTCCCCTTTTGTTGTTTTCTCTTGTTTAGCTCTTTGTCAAGTAATTGTGATGTGAATGGTTGGCAATTTGGGATCATATCAGCTATGGAATAGCCTACCTACTCACTCGGGTATAGTGAACCCTAGTCTCTCTATGTGTTAGGTTGAAAGAACATGAACCTATTGTGTTGATTGAGTGTTTTATATGTTATATATTTGAGATATTATTAAGGAATGATTGAGTGTGCTAGCTTTAACTCAATATTGGGTGAAATTAACTTAGGGGGTGGAAATCCCCTCTTGGTCCAATTAGGAGCTAGACTCCTTAGCCACTTGGGTAACCTCCTTTAGGTCAATTTAAGATCAAAATAAAAAATATCGCAGTAGGGCCGTGATTCCACCGGGATAGCTCTCTCCGCCGACCGGAATAAGTTCTGAGGGTTTGGTTTGCAATCCTTAGCCGGATAGTTGAGAGGGTTAGGTTCCCTAGCCTATCGTTGTCACCCTTAGCAGAAAGGTTAAGTGAGTTAGCTTCCTAACTTGTTGCAACGACTCTCAATTAGCTAACTAAGAAAGAGTTAAGGATCTCCTTGGTTGATCGATAAAGAGGGCTAGACTCTCTAGCTATGAATCACAATCCTTGACCTAATAGTTAAGGGAGCTAGTTCCCCTAGTTTATATTTGTTGATTTTCCTTCATTGATCGACTAAGGGAGTTTGTCCCTAGCTAGTTGCGCCCACCTAGCGGTGTATGAACACGTCCTTCACACTAGAGCTTTGTTCGTTGCCACTTAGCATAAGACTAGGGGGAGCAATACCCGGGTGAAACTCTCTCAAGTAGAATCCTCCTCCATTTACTTTCCTTGCTTGTTTAGTTTGTAGTTTACCTAGTTTTAAACCCAAAACCGTTTTCTAGATAACAACTTAAGCGATTGAAGTAGGGGTACATGGACCGGCCCAGGTTGGCAATTTAAATACTTGCCCTATACTGCACCCGGCTACAGTTTAAAAACTTGGGCTTTAGTCGGGATTAATTCCCAGTGTAGTTTCGTGCGAGTCAAGTACGTTAAAATTGAATATGTTATTTCAACGATTTTGAGAAGCAAGTAAACAGCATTGGATATGATAGACTAGAGGGAATAAGGGTAGCCCGTAATTGGGTTTAGATTTTGAAAATAATTAGGGAAATGAACAACATTTTTCTATTAAACTTGTGTTTAAAATACAACAACAAATGAGTTGTAGGCTAATGAAAAACATGTTTATCAATGATAGAGTGTTCTAGGTTCAAAGTACATAAGCTACCACTTATATACTTCTTTTGTCCATACATAAACTACTATCGTGATTGAATAATTATTTTTTCAAAATTCTAGGAGTACCGGGGACAGTGAAACTTGCTGCTGATGAAGCACACAGTGTGACTAACACTGAAACGAATACCAAAATTGAAAATTACATCCGCTATACTAGCTGGGAATCCAGAGGAGGGCTGAGCGTGGCTCAAGGGCGGCCCCCTGGATCCGCTGTTGATGTCATGCCACCTATCTGTCATGTAATATTGTCAAAAATGGGAAAATATTTTTTGAAAATATTTTTTTTCAAAGAAAGAAAATTATTTTTTCTTACTTTTTTAATCTTTCTATCTCTCTGTTTATCATGTAGTGTATTTCTTCTTCTTCTTCTTTAATGGGAGTTTGCACGAACATTTTTTTTCGTCTTTCTAATTCTAGCTGTCTCTCCTTCGTTCAATTGTTTGCCTCCTACCACAACAGTCTTTCCCTGTCGCGACGGCCTCAATCTTATAGGAGTAATTTCAAAATTGAAATAATGTGAATCTTCACAAACAACGTATCCACACATGACACACCCACTAATTAAGATTGTACTTCAACTAAATTTAGAGTATAATGGTTGATAAATATTTTTATCATTGCATAGAGTATGGATGGAAAATGTTATTTTCTTACTAATTTTTTTATTGTATTGTGCATAATACTTTAAGGTTTAGAATCGTTAAATATGTATTGTTTCTCAAGCATAAGAAATAAATATTGAATAAAGGTTATGATCACGAGTTTCCTATAAATGTTATGCTTTTTAAGACACTCTTTTTTTGTTATGTCAATTTTCTTTTCAGAGTGACTACATCATTAAATTGACAAGTTATGAATGGTTATTCACGAGTGTTATAACCAAGGTTGTTACACCTCTACAAAATCAAGTGTCTGATCGTTAGAGAAGAAGAAGAAGAGAGAGGGAAGGGGGAGTGCGGAGAGAGGCAAGAGGGTGTTGGGTGGATCTTAAAATAAGTATGTTTTCTTATGAAATTTGAGTTTTTAATATATATAAGTTATTAAATTCCATTTCAGTGTCTAAATTTCTATCTTATATGTAAATATATTTTGAAAAGGTGTAAAATGCCTCAAACAGGTTGGACCTCAATCAAACCATTAAACTGCAAACTAATTGCTTGACCATCTCAACAACTTAAACCGGTTTGACAACTTTGGTTATAACAATTAAGCTTACAATGTTCATCATTGATGGAAAGTTATAAGAATTTCAAAAATGGAAAAATAATTTCGATGTCACCTTAATGTCATACGAAATTCAACGTTTCAAATAGTTTAAAAATTTTAAATAAACATCATATATACATTGTATTCAATGACATTCCGACCAACGGGTCGGATAACAAGCTAGTTAATGTTAGATGGTTGAGTGGTGTTTTGAGCAGGAAAGCCAGAAGAATACTTCTGGAAGGCTTTCTTACTTTCTTACAAGGCCCGTTGGGCAAATCAAAGACAAAAGCCCAACAAGAAAAGAAAGCCCTGCAATTGCATTAGCCAGCCATCAAAACCGTATAAAAAACTGAACAACTGATGCGGACTTTTACTTTTTTTTCCTCTTTCCTTGTCGGAGTCGGCTTGGGTTTTCTTGTTAAGCCTTATATATAGGGATGCTCGTTGTTAGTTGGCGGCAGTTTTTGATATTGATAGAAGAAGAAACGAAGTTTTCCTCGCAAAATCGACTCTCGTTTGATTTATCGGCCTTTACCCACGTACGCTGCATCAACAACCCCTCGCTCGACCACCTCGAGGAAGGAGAGAAAGCAAACCCTAGGAGGGTTGGTGGAATCGAAATCGAAGGCAACCTTGTTCTGAATGCTGATGATGACCAGAGGCGGGAAATCAGGGTCAATGGCACCGGTGATGATGACCGGCGGGTCACTGGAGTACAAGAAGAATCCGGCGACGGAACCCAAATGGAAAGGTAAAACCCTTTACTTGAGGTTTGGGATTGATGCATCGATTTGGGGGATTAAGGTTTTCGAAGACACCGTAAAGGTGGGGGAAATCCACTTATCAAACCCTGTTTGTAAGCTGGATATGCACAGTGATTTTGCTTTGCCTGTTGGAATGAGCCTCTTCTGGCTTAATAACAAGGTTTATTTGGTCGGCGGAGAAACTACATCTCTGAAAGGCCCAGACCCTGTCAGAACAATTAATTCCATGGGCGACGACGCCTCTCAATTCTGCCAATCAAGTGACAAAGTCTATGAATTTGATCCTTCAGATCTGCCTAACAAAACCACCTGCTGCTTCCGCGAGATCCCTGATTACCGCCTGCCGATCCCTATGCCACAACCGATTGTTGCAAACATCCGGGGGAAAGTATACGTGCTTCATGGAGATCCTATCACTGGGGAGCCCGGATGCCCAGGGAAACCGGAATTAGCTTTCCAGGTTTTAGAATTCGATCATTGTTCGAAATCGTATCGTTGGAGGACACTTCCTATACCTCCCTTCTACGATGTATACTCCTCGTTCTTTGGGGAGTGGAGGGGCAATGTTGGTGTCGTCGGCCCCAGGCTGTTTATGTTACAGCTTTGTGAGGGGGTTGAAATTGTACATATCTTTGATTCCGTTAAGGAAACCTGGGAGTCTCAAAATGAAGACGAATTTCCCTTGGATTATATGCCATGCAGAAACTTGTCAAGTTTGCTAATCAGCCAAAGGACAGAAAGAGGAAGTGGTATGGTCCATGCGACTGATGGTTATTTCATCGCCATTGGTAATGAATGTCAGTTAGCTTGTCAAGCTCGTGTCTTTGCTACAGTGGCCAATTTTCACGGTGTTATGTCCGACGTACAATTCCTACCAGATCAATTACCGGCTGAATTTCATCCACTTGCTGAATGCAATGTGATTGACCTATTGGAGAAGGATCACGGTACCAGCATCACATTTTGTGTGCTGTATGTAGCCAACAAGCGTGCCCTGCTGGCTTTGTCAGTTTTCAGAGTGTGGTTGTTATCTTCAATGGTGGTCGTGAAACCAGAAGACGGCTCCCCATACTTGTCCCGAGAAGATAAAGGGGAAGGAGGAGCAAGTGATGATGGACCCAGAGGAGGTGCCTACTTGGGAGTTGAAATTCTGGAAACACATTTCTTTTCAATGGGTGAGATATGCCCTATCGACATTGCTGATGCCTTCTTCCTCTAGGCAACTAACCTTTCATTATTACTGGTCAAGTACATTTCTTTGTAGCCCATGGTTTCCATTTATCAATGCCGTTTGTTGGACTTGCACTATCATTACCGTTTTCACTGGATCAATCTTGTTGGTACCAGAAGGAAGACACGGTTCTCATCTGGCAGTTTAAAGGGTTTGTTGTTTGTAATAGTTGTTCTTCTTACCTGCTGGACGTGTCATGTTCGCTCTAACGTTGTTGTAAATTCTGTTCTATTTGGTTCAGTTCGTTTGATGGACTGCAATCCTTTTGAGATTTTCAGGAGAAGGAGCCAGATCAAGATACTAATGGCTGGCTGGCTGGCTGGCGTGATTTCCTGCATGAATGAGCAAGTATGAGCTTGTGTATATAATGTCTTGATTTTGACTTCTGATTCGGGAGAATCTTGTGATACAAGGCAACGCGGTTTTGTTAGTGACAGCATGTTATTTATCCTGCTCGTGGGTTCTTCTTTATACTTTAGTGGCAAGTGATGATTGTGTAATATATGATTCCTCGCGTAGCATGGAAGGTAGAGCAGACCACCCAAGTTTTACCTATTGAGATGAAGATTGTAAATTTTATAGAGTTCGTTTGATCTATGGATTGCTGTGATAGACATTCTGTACGCCATAGTAAAGCATGAAATGTGGAAGATTGGTAATAGGGTAGGTAGAGTTTTGACTTTTGATCGAGTTTCTTATTGAGCTTTGATGTAGATTCTAAGTGCGTATGGATGAGTGTATCACTTTACGCGTTATCGATCGATCCATCAGAGAACAAAAAAATAATGATATGTGTAGGACAAGAACAAATAGATATTATGATACGATTGCGTTCCACGAACACTACTGTAACAAATCTGAAGCCTAAGCACCTATTCGGTAGACTTGGAGGGAGTTTTAGATGGGGATAAGTGTTTGTTTGGATGGATCTATTCGAAAACAGGATAATTTGGCTAATTGTCTCCTTCTACAAAACGAGTCAATTTAAATTACTTGCTCCCATCGCGAACAATTATAATGGTCTCAAAACGAGTTAATCTTAAATTTCTTATGATAAATTGATCATTCTAATTTTTTGTTATCAATTGAGTCAAATTGATCAGTGGTATCCAAACTGCCCAAAAAGTTTTTTTTTTTTTTCGTTGAATCAGTTTCCCTCCTTTTATTAATATGAAAAGAAAGACCAATACAACGAAGCAAAGCAGCAATGCTTTGAGAGATGTCAACAGTCCTCCTCACCTCCACTCACTCTATAACTACTTACTTAATTACTCAAAACACTCAAACAAGCAAAGAAAAATACTATCAAATATAGCCCAAACTCGCCAGGTCTCCCTGCAGCATAACATTCCCAGCCACCAGATAACGAAGATCTGCTTGTAGTTGAGCAGCAGTTTTCTCCGGGTCTGGCAGTGCCCCACCATGCACAACTCTGCATCGTTCACGCCAAATATAAGTCAACACCATACACCACACAACTCCATGCCATCTCACCTTTCCAGAGGGCCGAACCAATGTGCAGACTGCAACCAGCATTCGATCCCAGCCACCTGCTTCAAACAATCTACAGTGCAAATTCAAGACAAGCAGACGGGCAAAAGAACAATGTATGAACAGATGCTCTCTCGATTCCATCGGGAAGGTACACAATGGGCAAGAGGCGATAGTAATCTTCCCCCAGCTCAGAAGCTTATCCCTTGTCACTATAGAATTTCTAATAATAAGCCAGGCAATAAAGCTAAATCGGGGAGGACAGAGCTTATTCCAGACTAAATGATACCATGGCACCTCTCGCTGCTTGACCCGCAAAGAATCCCAGACCAATCGAACAGAATAAACCGGCATTGGGTTTGTACCCCAGTAAACCTCACCATTCCTCTGTTGAATCCATGGCCTAATCTTATCCCTGATTTTGAGCAGCCTCCTCCATGTCCAGGAGCTGCTATACTGTGGCTTCATCAACCACAGATCAGAATGCTTGCACTTGTACTCATACATCCATGCTACCCAGAGAGTCCCTGACTTTATGAGAAACAACCATAACATCCTAGCCGAGCAAGCTATGTTCCACGCCTGAAGATCCTTAATCCCCAAACCCCCCTCCTTCTTTGGATAAGCTAGCTTCTCCCAAGCTACCCTGGCCCTACCTTCATCACTACCATGCCATAAAAATTGAGAGCAGACTTTTTGTACCTGCTTCAAGACCTTTTTAGGAAGAACAAATAATTGCATCCAAAACTGTACTATCCCCATCAAAACAGAATTCAACAACTGTAACCTCCCTGCAAAAGTAAGCTTTTTAACCCGCCAAGACTTGATTCTCTTAGTAATTCTCTCAACCAACATAGTCACTTCACAAGAAGAAAGCTTTCCAGTGATCAAAGGTAGCCCCAGGTACCTAACAGGGAGTTTCCCCTCTTGGAAACCTGAAAGCTGAAGAGCAACAGTTTTATAAAGAACAGAGGTACCCCCAAAGTAAACCTCACACTTGGAGGGGTTACATTGGAGTCCAGAGACCTCATAAAATTGTTGGAGCACCTGCTTAACCTGAAGAATAGCCTGGGCTGACCCCTCTGTAAATATGATTATATCATCTGCAAAGCACATATGGTTCAACTGCACTCTTTTACATTGTGGATGGAAGGGAATTCTGTTTTCTTGACTAGCTCTCATCAACATGGTAGAGAGCCCCTCCATAGCTATTGTAAATAGATATGGTGATAAGGGGTCTCCCTGCCTAACCCCCTTCCTAGCTCTAAAATAGCCACACAGCCCCCCATTTATGTTAATACTATAGTGTGCTGTTTGAATGCAACATTTAATCCACTTTAAGAACTGGTCAGGAAACCCCATTACACTCATCATGAGAAAAAGGTAATTCCAGTTTACAGAATCAAAAGCTTTCATTATATCTATTTTGATAGCACACCTAGAGGAAAGGCCCTGTCTATGGTATCCACTGACAAGCTCCTGTGCCAACAGAATATTGTCCATGATACTCCTACCTTTTATGAAAGCTGACTGAGAAGGACTGATAATGGTAGGTAGAACTTCCTTAAGTCTATTGGATAGAATCTTAGCCACAATTTTGTATAGAAGATTCACACAAGATATAGGCCTAAAATTCTTAAGAGTATCAGCAATGGGAATTTTAGGAATAAGAGAAACAGCTGTGGAATTCACCCCACTTGGAAGTTTACCTTGATGAAAGAAATCCAGAATCCCCCTTGTGATATCCTCTCCAATAATGTGCCAAGTTTTCTTGTAGAAACCAGCAGAAAACCCATCTGGCCCAGGGGCCTTCTGAGAATTCATACCAAAAACCACCTTTCTAACCTCATCAGCAGTGACGGGTTGCACAAGAAAGTCCTTCCCCTCAGTAGAAATAGTGAGCTTGACCATACCTTCAACAACCACCCTACTAGGATTAATATCTGGATTTGCCTCACCTAGAAGTTTCTTATAATACCCCACAGCCTCCTCCACTATCTGATCAGAATGAACCAACTCCTCACCTGCTGCAGAAATGAGCTTTCTGATAGCTCTTTTTGAGGTTCTGATTTTTACTGCCTGGTGAAAGAAGCCTGAACACTTATCACCAAGCTGCATCCAAGAGACCCTCGACTTCTGCCAGCAGAAACTCTCATAAGCCACCTGAAGCTTGGCATAGTCATCCTGCACTCTATTGACTTCTGCAAAATGAACTGGGGAAGGATCTGAGAAAGCTAAAAGCTGAGCCTCCCTTAGCATATCTGCTGATGCCTTTACCTGCCCTTGCAAATCCCCATATACTTCCTTATTAAACTGCTTCAGCACCTTTTTTACTTCCTGCAACTTTCTTTGAACCACCTGCAATGGGGATCCTGTAACTTCTGTCTTCCAAGCTTGCTCGACCTTGGCTAGAAAAAGAGGATGCTCAGCCCAGAATTCAAAGTATTTGAATGGCTTGGGAAGAGTTTTGATTGGTGCCGCTGTGCAAGCTTGAATCCCACAATGATCAGAGAAACCTGAAGGGAAAGCCTCCATGGCACAATCAGGGAATTTCTCAATCCACTCGACATTCACCATAGCTCTGTCTAGCCTACGGGCAATGGGATTGTTCTGCTGCCTGTTTGTCCACGTAAACTGGGGCCCTGTTGTTCTGTAGTCCAGGAGCTCCAAATCACCTATCCAGTCATTAAACGCAGTCATACTAGGAGTTACAGATAACTGATTACTAGTTTCATTAGGCACTCTAACTGTATTGAAGTCCCCCCCACTATCCAGGGATAACCTGCTACCTTTAACTTCCTGATTTCATCATAGGTTCTGACCCTATCTTCCTCAGTATTTGCTGCATACACAGCTGTAAGAAAGAAAGACTCATTACCAATCCCTTTCACTATAGCATGCACAAAATTTTTCCCTGGTTTTAGTACCCTCACTTCCACTTGTGGATCCCAGAACAGCCATACCCTCCCTAGTGGAGAATCAACACAATTCAAACACTTCTTCCATCCTGCAAACACCTCAGCCACTGCTTCCTCTGCTTTATTAGCTTTTATTCGAGTTTCTAGCACTGCTACTATATCTACCTTATTACTATGCAAGACTCTTAACAAGTCCCGCTGTTTAGAGGGTTTATTAAACCCTCTAACATTCCAGAAAAGGATATTCATTTTGAAGGCGAGGGTCTTACCCCTCCTCCTCCCTTCTTACCCTCCTTTTTACCTTCCTTCTTCTTTGGCACTGCTTGCAGCTTAACTGGTTCCCTATCTTCCAACCGACTTAGAACACTGAATGATGAGGCTGAGACATGAAAAGTATTCTGTGGACTTGTTTTTGGTGACCAAACACGAGGCTTGGCACCATGGACCACCTGCTGGAACTCTGATTCTGAAGGCAACTTTGGGGAAATCATCTGCTGTAGCTCAAGAGCAGATGGCAGCACAGGAGTTGCTACCTCTTGAAACGAGCTGTCCAGGTTTGCTGGGATGACCTGTGAAGCCCCCACCATAGCAGTCAGCTGAGGATCATCATCAAACACCACAATCTCCTTACCCTTAGCAGAATTCTTAGCGCTGGACTCCCCCTGAGGAAGATCGTTCAATGATTTGGGCACTGGTTTCTCAGGCACAGCCACCCTCTCCTCCTGATGCTTTGCACAGTCCCCAGTAGTGCCAAAGAGATGACAAACTGGACACACTGGCGGCAGATTACAGTAGGTAACCCCGATTTTCAGAGACTGATCTTCATCAGGCCATAAAACCACATGATCTGGGCACTCACTGTCCACGGTAAGCTCCACCAATACCTTAGCATACCCATGTCGATCCCCCATCCTCGTAGTGTGATCAATCCCCAATGGAATCCCTAACCAGCTTGCAATTCTACTAAGTCCCTGAAAATCATAATACTCCAGCGGCACGTTCACAAGATTCACCCAAATTGGAAGCGCTTTACGCCCCAAATCCTCAGCACTAATACCTGGTACCCAAGGCCTAAGATAGAGCAAATTGTTGAGGTAAAACCATGGCCCGTTCTCAAGAATCCATTCACAGACCTTCGGATTTGGCAACTGAATGAGAAGCATTCGATCATAGAGGAAAGACACCCGAACTACTCCATCCCTCCCCCAGAGCTTGTTCGCCCAGCGACGAAGAACATATAGCGAAGGCGGATCTTGCAAGAACTGACCAACTAGACAATTCCTCCATCTAGCCG